GTTGCATGACTATGCGTGTTACGTAAAGTCAACAATTTTAAATTTTCCGACACGGTTCCCTTAAGGTACTCGTCGAGGTAAGATGCTCGAGAGCAAGCCCGGATTATGGATCAATTGGGCTCCGGGACATCATACACTTAGTGGGTCCCCTTTCCACTTAAAAATAATTATTTATTAGGTAAATAAAAAATAAATATATATATTTTTTTTAACTGCTTTGAACACGTTAAAAAAAACATATTTTGGGGAAAAAGATGGGCCCTCAAAATCAACGGGCCCGGGAACTGTGTCCGGGATTGTACCCATTGTTTAATGATTAAAAAATAATATATTTATGTTTTTAATGTTATGACTTATAGTCACTTTTTTCATTTTGACCACTGCATCCTTCTAGGACAATTTTAAACAAAAGGAATAATTATTTCATTACCATTAACATTTTATTTTTTGTTTATATGTATTAGACATTGATTCTAATTTCTGACATAATGCTTCACAAGTAGCTTCTCATACGGCTCTGTGTAAAAGAAGTGGGAGGAGTAAGCGACAACGTGGTAAACAATTGTAAGAGTATTTGAATGTTAGATTAAATATTTTTGCAATGAGCGAGTGATTAAACAACGGACATTGGTTCTGATTTAGTATTTTCTTTCCGTTGTTGCCTCCATAAGAACAGTTAAGCTCTGAGTTTAGGTTTTGTATCATCAAGCAGATCTTGGACACATATTTTAGTAGCTATTATAATATTTTCTTCGTTGTACCAATATAAGTTGCCTGAAATAAATTTTTCGAGTAGCGGAACATTAGCAAGCCAATTACTGAAACGAGTATTCATTGATTTTATTGAGAGATCGAGAAATGAAATAAAGAAGGAACACTCAAAATATATTTCTGGAATTTAAGTAGTGAAATTGATTCTATGAGTTTGTCTTTTACGTATTAATAATACAATAAATTTGTATTTCAATACTGATGCTATTTCCCATTGAAACAACGTCATTAAATATTCGTCACAATGATTATTGTATGCTGCGTTTAGTATAAAACCCTATCAAATAAATTTTATTTAAACATTAGGAACCATTTGAATCGTAAAATGGAGTATAAATATATACTTAAATACAGGTCATGGGGGAGTATATCCCCGTTTTTCCCTTCCTTTAGCTATGCCACTGCAAGGAGGTCTCTGCTCATTAAGCATTTTCGGTACCATTATTAAATTATCTGCTTATACAATAAACATACGTACAAAGATCCGTTTTATACAAATGCACCCAAGACGAAAGAGATGAACTGCACGATATAATAGTGATGAACATAAAATATTTAAAGACGGCATCTGCCCTGTTCAACGATTACGTTTTTAAATCTCCTACACGTCGAGTGCACGATATTTTTCTTCCGCCTTTTTTCTCGGTGCTACAACACGTGCGCACGTGTGTTACATTACATGCATAGTACAATAGTTGGCAACTGTACTTGCGTGAGTAGTTGGCCCGGTCACTGGGACCAAACCAACAGAAGCTACAACGTAGAATATTTAATACAATAAGAATTGCTCGTATTTATCGATAATTGTATTGGTAAACAATTTAAGTAAAAAAAAAAAAAAAAAACAGTTAAGTTATAATAATGGCACATAATTGAAAAAATAATTGGTCAACAGTTTATTTTCAAATATCGATGTCGTTCGCAATAGATACGCAATAATAAAAAAAAATATTGTAGTACATAGATAACTATTGTAGTATGCATTGAGTATGTATTAAATATTCAAGTGTACGCTATTATTATAATGTGATTGATACTGGACATTGTTTTGAATAATAGTCGCAATCCAAATCCAAAGATTATATTACCGCCCGACTGGTGCTTCTGAAAAACTAGTCATGGCACCTCCTGACATGAGCTTCAATTGCCACCATCGTCGTCGCGGTTACGGATACGTTCGACCCGAGTAGAGATACCGGTGAGCGTATTGGAAAAATCGAAACCTTATGATCGACCGACCACCAAAATAAAGGCGTGAAGACGTAGTTTGTTGACGATAACAATTATGTTATACGGACTGCTGTGTGACTGTGTTGCATTTTTTTCGTGTACACATGAACGCGCAAAACCTAAAAAATTATTTCTGAAAAATATTAAATATTCCGCGAAATTCAGAACTACTTAACAAATGTAATTTAATCGGGCGAGTCCGTTTTCGACCAAAACCGTACCCTTCCCTTTTTGGCCGATTCACTTTTCGACCAAAACAAAAATTTATTTATTTATTTGACCGAAAAGGGAAGGGTGCGTTTTTGGCCGAAATCGGCCATGCTCGTTTCATCATCGAGTTCTTTGGCAAGTACGGAAAAATATCAATAACAGGAAATGGCATATATGCATTATAATAGAACACGTTTTTATTTTCCAGATAAGTTTGAACGCAACATATAGTTAAATCTACCGCGGGTCGTGTGCACATCGTATGGCGATTGTTAATACAAGTAGAAATTCAAGGTATACTGACTTTTATAAATTTCTATTTTACCGTTAGTCCAACTAAAGACAGTGGCGTATTTAAGAATTTCAGAATAGAGGTAACACATATTTTGCCACCCCCCCCCCCAAGTACAAAAAAATTTTGTTATTATTACTATTTATTAAAACCTCTACTAATTGCTAGATATACAATATAAAAACAAAATTCAAATCTTTTTCTTCCTTGATTCAGAACTAGAAAAATCATTAATTATTTTTTTCAGAATCTAATGAAGTGGTTATTTCAGCTTCCAATACTAATACCGCTAAAGCCGAACAGCGGTCTGGTGCCATTGTAGATGGTAAATAGTTTTTTATTTTTTTTTAGTGTGGAAAAACAACACTCTGCACTATAATTTATAAATGGTGTATACAACAAAATACGTAAAGCTACTTCAACATAGGGATGAACACTAGTAAAATCATGTTCTCTTATAAACTGTATCATCTGTATTGTTGTAAGCTTAACTTTAATGTTTTTTATATGTCCTTGAAAATGTACACCTTAATTTATGAAACATGTTGCTAAATCATTTGGGTATGTTGTGTCAGTGTGTAAAGTACGAAATAAAAATTTTCCATCCCTCAAAATATTTAAAAATTTGGCAACGGGATCCATAGCGCCTGCCTAAATACACCCCTGACTAAAGATATTATAGTTTGAGAAATGCATGCGTTTATACGCTATTTATTTTATTTTTATTTTTTTCGGTTACCCTTTTATTACAATTTTAAATATGGCGCATTTCAAAAGTTAACCATTGGCGTCTCAACTTCTGAATATTAATATTTTCTAAGTAAACAACAAGAATGCACGCGTACACCTCTGAAAAGTAAATATAATTAAATACAGTATACTATACGTACTCGGGATCGCTATTCATACTGTATATGTATACAAAACACATAGCGTCATTTATTTTTCGTCGTACTTATATTGTTTAACGTATCAATTTTTTCACAACACGACGTATTATCTCATCCGATGTTTACCGACCAATATACATACAACGAGCATTACGTGTTTTATTATTACGTCGAAGTCGATTTAGAGAATATTATGACAACCCTAGTTTTCGTGGAAAACCTTTAATCAAACAGGAAAACTAAAAAAAAAAATAACCATGACAAGCCAAACGAAGTGCACAGAATTAATAATAGTAGTAGTAATCGAGAGGTCTTGGTGAATTACGGATGTATAGAAATGTGATCGAGAAATTTGTCTCAGTGTGTGAGTAGTGCGCCGAGAAGTGCAAGATCGGCAAACCTTACATGCGTATTAAATCCCTGTACGACATGGTGTGTCTCGGTAAAAAAAAAAACCCTTCCGTATTAGATAGAAAAACCGTGGAACAACGAAAAAACATTGGTTCTATAGAGTTTTCAGTGATTACGCGGACCGTCGAAGTGTAATACGTACACATCTTGCAGGGCTTGGAGTAATAAAGTCGATATAGCAATCAGAATTAAGACAACTTGCGACAACGTGTACACCGTATAGTACAAATCGTTATCTCGTTACGGATCGAAAAAAAAACAGATCCCCGTAAGGTTTCTTTTATGTTTTCTAGTATATTTTGTTATATTCGTATTACAGCTATACGTAATCCGCGTTTTTCGATACCTCGAAATTCTCGAAGGCTCCAATGCTTTCGTCTCCCCCGTTATTCGTCCCTAGGCCTTCGAAATATCGATGTCTCGCTGGGCTGCATGAACACCCGCCGTACGTGTGTGCGCACGTCATCGTTGAACGCAATCGACGAGCCCGTCGGATAGAACATTTAAAAAGCTGCGATTGCCGTTTTAACGGTTATTGGGACTCTACACAGTACATTACAATTTTTTCGTTGACGTTTGTACGTCAGGGTTGAAGAATTTAATTCCAACGGTTCTTGATTAACCAATTATTATCGAAGCAACCAAACGATAATATTGTACAGTATTGTTATACCAAAGTACGGTATCATGTAAAACGTCACGAATATTATCTACCACATTAAAAACCCTAGAAAAGTACTGTGTTAATCGATTTCGTTCTTACTGTTTTTCATTTTCATATCATCACATTTTAAATTCGAACAGTTCGTATACGCTTAAAATGGATATTGAGTGCGTAAAAATATAATTATAACAATGTTTATAATACGAGTTTACACTAATGTGTGAAAATAAAATGATAAGACATACTATTACTTATGATTAAATACTACAATGATTTATTAACATCTATGAGCAATAATTTGGCGTTATGTTATACTGTCGTATACATTATACAAAATAATTTAAGTATACAAATAAAAAAATTAATATGAAGATAATTGTACGCTTAAACTCTACACTATTTCGTGTACTAAAGTTACATAAATTAAACTTACTACTATGCCACTTTTAATAATTATATACTCTATTTCGGTATTCAGTCGTAAAATTATTATTAAAAAATTAGTCTTACATATATCTATATTAAAAAAATACAAATACGAATGTGTACTGTGTATAATATACTGTTAACGTTTACGTAAAAAAAAAATGTAATATTATAAACTATTGCTTAACGATTTACTTATTGGCCAAATCTAAATACATCGAAATGATATGTGCGTGCGTGTATTACGATAATAGTATAATTTAACAACATTTTCTTAGCACGAAATTCTAAGTCAGCACAACCGCTTTGTGTACGCACGGCCCTGTCGACCCTTCAAGCAACGCGGGCCACAAGTATGTCCGAACCTGATTGCTCTCCAAGTTCGACGAATGGTACCTGACGTGTAGGTCCCGTTTGAACGATCTCTGCTCGTATTCCAACACATAACTTGGCGTCTGCAAAACAAAATTACTTAACTCTAAGTATATTTATACAAATACACACACATACACACAAACACAAATATATACATATATATGTATGTGAGTAGATATCTTAATCGGCAGCTATAGCTGTGACACATTGAACTCTGTCCGCGTACACGAATAGTACGAATATGTCTTGATCTATCTTCCTGGACGGATTTACGGAAAAGCTGAATGGACTGCGGTCCGGAGACCTTCGCGGTATGGTAATCGTTTAACGATAAATAAAATAAAAGAAAAAAAATGTATAACTGCATGTAGTTAAATATTATCTGTCATTATCTGACATAGTTATTTTACACGAAAAATTTGCCGGTCCAAAACTAGGTAGGTTTCTATCGTACGTGTTTCTATACTTAACGTTTAAAAAAGAGAAAGAAAAATAAACTGGTTCAAAGACTGCATTGGAATGCTATACTCGAATCGATTAGTCTTTTACGAAAAAAAAATAAAAAAAAAATACACACTAGTAGCTGCGACACGTTTGTCCGAATTGACTGTTATTTTTATCAAGTCATAACGTTAGGAAATCAGGAATAATATTTCCTTCCCCGTATCTATTTCATCTTCAGCCGCCGTTGTGTACATGAATACGGTATGCTAGGAGGAACGAAAATTACCTGATTCACTAGTGCCCAAGCTAAACGCACCGCGTCACAGATGTATTGATGAAGTGCGGCACAAGATTTCAAACACGGGTAGTCGTACAACGTTGCCCACAACTGCGAACTCACTTCCTGTGGACACACGACACGATCGTATTTATATTTGACGGCGCAATAATACATTGTTTACGAGTGTTGCGCGTGAACGCGAACGCAAAAACAACAGCAATCGCAATAATAATAGTAACGGCAAAAATGACGATTGTTAAAATCGTCATTTTGACGACGAATCTGAGATTCGATTTTTTTTTTTTACCTCGATGCACTGGGTCAAATCGAACGTATCCACTGTTCTCCTTAGGTACGTGCAGATGGAAGCTTCGAGCTCGACGTGCGCGGATCCGGACGGCGTTGGATAGAACAACAATCGTTTCACTTGCTCTTTCTTCTGGTTCAACATGGCCTGCGTCGACCTAAACGCCAACTGAAAACGAAACACGAATTTGAGCCAGACGGGGATAACGTGCGTCAGAATCACCGTCGAAGGGTTCGATTATATAACATTGTTATTGTACTCACGACGACGACGGAGAAGAGGATTTTCGACTTAAGCTCTGTAGCGTCGACAAGCTGCGGCAACGTGTCTAATTTTTCCAGCGCTTCAACGCGAGCTTGCGAGTACAAGTTGCCGTAACATCTTACCAATCTCGAGCCGCTCAACTCCCTAGAATTGATAATCGCGCATAAGTACAATATCCGTTTAAGATTCCGTTAACATAATAGTCTATGAAATTCGGACGCAGACACAGCAAGGAAACCGTACCCGTCATTAATTGTATCTTTTCTTCACTCTCTTAAAATAATTCGCTATGATCTCGTCGAGCGCGTACAGTGTTACATTCGGCTTAGCCGTTTCACGCTGTTATTAAACGAGCGAATTTTATTTTAATATATTTCGATAGGTATCTTAAACAATCGATTAGTACGTCCCAAACATGAAATTTAATTGTTTTTGCATCGTACATTTTTCGGAGAAATTATTTTTAGATTATTATTAATGTATCCAAACTGTTTGGATCAAAACCGAAAATATACGATTGGTCAAAGTTGTTTGGATTTAAACATTTAATGTATTTTCTGTTTACTTATTTACGGGAAAAAAAAAATTGATTAACAATATTAATTATAATTAGGTTTTTATTAGAAGATCTACAGGGGAAAACTTAGTTGTATATAATAAGCTACTATTTTACGACAATAATTTATAGTTAGAATATATCTAAAAAATCAAAAATGTATAAACGTTTATATACTTGAGTATATGTATACCTAAAATTTAAATATATATATATATAATTAGAAAAATTTGAATTGTTTTATTATTGTAAAACAAATGCATTTTCAACATACATATTAATAATTTTTTTGCGGTTAAACATGTATAAACACAATAAACACCATAAGAATTTACAACTATTTTATTTAATAAATTATTTATGAATAAAAACCAATCGGTTCACTCAATCGATCATATTTTCATTTATTTAGAAATGCATTTAAGTACTTATCAAGTAAATATTAAACATTTAAAATATCCCGAGTACCGTACAACAAAGACATTCGTTAAACGCCTAATTATTAATGCAATTTAAAATTTAGAAATTAGTTACGATTTTCTCATCATCATCAATCATCCAGTATATTTCTTTGAACGCAGATTATAACAAATTACATTTTTTTTTATGCAATTTACTATGGCAAGCACATTTAAATTTTAAAAAGTCATTGTCCATAAGGTAAAGATACACGCAGGTAAAACGGCGTGAGACACGCACAATATAAAATTACTATGCTCTTGGACGCGTCTTTTTCCAATTCGCAACAGCTCAATTATACGTGTTATAAACACAACGCGAGCTAATTAATAGCAGTGGAATTTCTAACAATTTTTAAACTTTTAAAAAACACACACAATATAATAATAATAAACATTTACGAGAGTGTAGGTAATTGCTAATAAATTTTAATTTCCTTTCGATACTATCGAAATGGCCTACAAAATAAAATACGCCGTACATAATTATTAGAAGCCGTACGAATGTTTTTTAAGTGCGTTTTACAATAAACATACAATATTCTTTATTGTGTTTCTTGAGCAGTGGAGATACATCTGTTTTACGTAAAAATCCCATTCTGACGTATATATTTGCAATGCGGCGGCGGGCACTTTAATTCACAAAAACCAACTCGTGTACACTTGCGATGGTTCGTCGGTAAAATCTTCATTATCTTTTCAAACCATCCCGACCCGCAATCCGACTACAATGTATTATGTGTTTGTGTGTGTGCGTGCGTACAATCCAGTGGAATAAATTGAAAAACGGATTATAAACCGACCGAAGGAGAACGATGCAAATTATACACATTTGTATTATTCTCGAGACATCCAAGGAATAGAGCCTACGCATCAGACTGGCTTGTTCGTCCGAACCGTAAATCATCCATCAAGAGCGACGGTTTAATTGCAAAAAATATTCCTTCGGGACATATCCCGGCGCAAACAACGCCTCCCTCCCATCCCGTACGACTCGATGTGAACATATACCGTTCAAGTATAACACGGTTTTGTATTATTTTTACTGATATCGTCTGCAGACCGAAATGTTCCGCGTTGGAGATTTGTTATGTACACGGTCAATAGCTGCGCGTTTTACAGGTTAATATACATTAACAAGAAGCGTATTGTGTACGGCTGGAGAAATGTTGTTAAACGCCGTAGTCGGGCGTATAGGTGCTGGTATACTTTTGCAGCGAAAATGAGTACTTATCCGACTTTGTTGAATTGGACCGACAAATTCGTCGACGTTGAAGTACAATAACTCTTGCACAAAGTAACACTGATAAACGTCTACATTTCCGAATGGTTTATTGATTTACTTTGAACAATAGCTGTTATATTCCATGATTCCGGTGGAGGAGAAGTAAAACTCATTATTTTCTAAAAATATATTTTTTTTTATGGATTCGAAATTTGTTTGAACCGATATTATCTAATGCTTATTAATATATGCTCAAACACACACAAACACACACATACAGTTAAAGAGAAACGTGTACACGAATATATACATAAATAAAATCTTTCCGTGATAAGCTCTCGGTTTTCATTACAAAACACAAATTGCAAGTGAAATTCTCAAAAAAATAAGCTATTTATTTATTTAGTCACTTAGATTCGCATACATTTCGTCCGTTACGTGGAAATTTTATACATTCATTCTCGTTTAGCTGGGTAAACTGTAGTTATAATTTCATTTCGTCCAGTGAATCATTTAACAACCATAAGGTAAGAATACTACATGCTTTAATGGCAACAGATTCAATGCGAGCTTATTTCAAAACATTCCCTTTTGTGACATGTGTATCATTTTCAATACAATTTTCTTGTTAAAACCACTTTGATAGTGATAATATTTTATTGGCTCGTCCTAGTAATTATTAACATCTAAAATAACACTAGAAATTTCGAGAGAAAGTTTTTTTTAGCGTTTTTATTTATACCGTGTTTGACTACCATATTCGTACGAAATATATCCGACTAAAGCTCTTAGTCCATAATGTTACTATGCGACCCGTTAACCGATTAAATTAACGAGAAATTTATTTGAGTGTAAACTACAATATAAAACGCAAACTATAAATTAAAATCCCATAACGTTTTAAAAGTATTTTAATACATTTGGTATAGCGATGGGTAAAAATTAACGAACTTAAACTATCCGACATGGTTTATTGAAACAAATTACTAAGAACTTTCTCGTCTATTTGAATTTCGCAAAAAACGAAAGTTAAGCATTTTCAATTTTTCTTTTGAAGTATAATTTATAACATTCATATAATTCAACTTTATACTTCGTGTTATAACCTTACTTATTTATATTTCATCGTACAGTTGAACACGAGTAGGTGTATAAATGATCAAACATTATCGTTATCTAAGAAAATTAAATTATGAACTGTTTTCTAATTCATTTATGTCTATGTGATTACATTTTACAACTACTACGTCCATACATAAACCGTTTATACGATTGGCATGTACAGTATTATAATTGGGAGACGAACGTGGCGCGTTGAGCAAAACTTGAAACAGCAAATAGAAAACTTCGAAACTTAAGATTGAATTACTTCGAACTTCCCCTCGGTCCCCGAACATGCGGCCGACCAAGATATTAATAAAAAAGTAAACACATTTAGACCCGCAGTGTAATTGCAGTCTGATCCTTCGTACAGCGACTACGCGAGTCACTGCTAATGAAACAAGCGCGAACCGAGTACAATATAATTCAATTAAAAGTCGTACTTAATGAAGCATCTGAATTAAGCCTAGAATATTAAGCAAAACATACGGCAAAACAACCGCGGGAAGAGCGTTCCCCCTGGCACAGTTCTTCAACAACTTTCCGCTCGACGTTATATATGTACAGCGGGAAAAATGCGTCTGGTCCGTGGCGTACTAAACATTTGTGGAATTTCCACTATCTGTACTCGATGAAGGAGGATAGAGTAATGTGCCCTTTGGTCGACCTTTATCAAATACAATAGTAATTTGCTAATTCGTTACTAGATTCAACCGTACCTACATTAATTGTACTGTAACAGTGCGATTCGTGTAGTTTTTGAACAGGCAAAGTTGAAATAACAATGAATTCCATTTGAAAGAGACAAACCCTCGATTTCACACAGTCCAAGTTAAGCATTATTTTTTTATTTGTCGTGTTATCAAGGGCAATGAAAAGTAAACTTATTTTATAGGAAAATACTCTATTATTTCCATAGGGTCTTATTATTGGATAAAATCAAGCACTAATAATTGAAAATTGTCGACCTAATTGGATATTGTTAACAAATCAGTATTCTTTAAAACGTGTAATTTTGCTATACTAACGAGTGAATTATTTTTATTTTTGTACTCGAATATCAATTATTTTAATGGTTTAAAATTTAATATAATTTATTTTATATACATTTACCGTAATTGGGTGACCACCATATGCGTATTGCAATTTAAAAATAAATACTTCATACATATTTCTCCGTGTCGATCGAAATTATGATTATTTAACTCTCAATAAATTATATTAATAAAACGCAAACCGAATAAATAATTTTCGATAAGAATAAATAAATAAAATAAATAAACACAATGTCTTGATTTCCTATAATAAGAATATTAAAGGTGATTGTACGTTTCGATAAAATTCGATCAAAAAGTATTGGTTACAAAGAAATTATCTAAAATAATTACTCATTTACGGAAAAATATGTTTTATTTTATACTTTATAAGTTTGTACCTCGTAAGAGTAAAATTATATCAAGTGACCTACAACTTATGTATCTATACATTGCAGCTGTAAGTTATATTATAAACTTGCATCAAGATCAATTATGGAAGGTCGTTATAATTATTTAATTATGGTTATTACTTAACGACAATAACTTTTTATTGTATTTATTTTTATTTATATTTATATTTATTATTTATATTTATATTTATTTTACTCTGTATTCGCAAGTATTCCTTTTAATCGAGTGGTTTACAGATATTAAAAATTTAAAAACTATGAAATTAGAGAAAAAACTTACTTGGAAGCCTGTGTTTGCTTAGCAGCTTTGGCCAAGGACTCGAGTTTAGCTTTAGTTCTTTCAAGTTCGAGTTTGGTGGTTTCCAGCTCCGTTTGCAAGGCTAACTTTTCTCGGTCATCGTTTACGTTCTGCAATTGCAAAGCCGCCTGCGGTCCACACTTACGACAACAGGTCAACGTATTCATCGATTTCTCGGTGGACCATTCCCAATTCGGTGCCGCTGAACAAATAACGAGAGAGAAGAAAAAAAAAATTATAACACAATAATAACAATATAATAATAAATAGATATGTTATGAACTATTTTGGAATTATTATATTATACTATCATCAACGACGGGTGTATAAAAACAAAACAAAATAACCAAATAAAATTGCCAACACCAATTACTTGTCGGCGTCCCAATTTTGTTTAATAATTCGCATCCGACTACAATGCAAACTGAAGATTATTATACTATAACGTCCGTGAAACCTGAAATCGATCCGTTCGAATTAATGGACTATGTGTACGGAAATTGACTCTGATTAAAATATCGATTTCCATCGGCAAATACGGCGTATCGAGTGACTGCGGTGCGCAGTCTTTTAAATAAACACCGATGAGGAGATAGAGACGAATGGGTCCGTCGTTTTCTACCATGCACACGAACAAAAATTCAACACGAGTTACTGTAACACGTAGTATCTTGCATACGAGATTCGATATGATGGATGATCATCATCATGGGCGTGTTTTAAGGGGGGTGATAGGGTGATCGCCCCTCCCTGAAACCGTATTTAAGGAATTAATTTTATGTGAGATACACATTTCAAATTTTATTAATATAGAGATCATTTTATAACGAAATCAAATTACGCGTGGCTGTGAATACTAAGTTGGGCTTTTTGTCGGTTCCATATTTAATGAAAAATCAAATAAAATACAAGCGTAACTTTCAAAACACAAATAGGTGTTAAAAAAGAACTACACAAAATCGATTCTAAGTGGATCCGGCATTAGTTTAAAAAAAAAAAAAAAAAACCACAAATATTAAGGATTCGCCTGGCTTAAATATTACCAACAATTTTACTTGTAAAATTTGAACCTGAATTAGCGAAAAGAGTCACCCCCCCCCCCTAGAAGTAAGTCTAAATACGCCTCTGATGATGATGATGATGCGGCACGTATGGCGTTGAATCGATTGTAACGATGGTGAACGTAATGATGATGATTGCGTTTACCTGTCGTCGACGATTCCGCGCCGTCCGGTGGACTCGCCGAACTCGATCCGGTGCTCATTACCAATCTGGTGCGTGTGCTGTGATTGCTGCTCGATCGCACTGGAACAAAATAACGAAACCCACATGGTTAGGAGGTTAATCACGTGAAAATAGAAACTGTACACACACGAGGTACGACGCGCAGCCGGTCATTACTGCACGCGGGTACCGATTGATATTATTACAGTCGAGACGTCGCCGGATTATTCCGCCGCACGCCTTGCCGATAAATCGATTTTCATTCTTTATAATTATTTTTGTCGTACCCAACTCGCATTCGTAAGAGAATTATCGTCGGACGAAAATCAATAAATAAATACAATCGCAGACAGTTTTCCCGCGTCGCGTTCGACTCCCCGCGGCATCGCGTCCGACAACAGGAATGTTGCAGTTCAACTTTTTTCGTCAATTACGGCTAATTTTTCTCGAGCAAATCAAATAATGTGTATCATAAGGAAAAAAGTGGATACCGTAATATTAATACTACGTCGTGTCCTAGAAAAACGTATCACCGTAATTACAAGAATACCATTCGCTATATGGATACGTAACCTATCTACATAAATTATAATTTACCTTCCTATAGAGTAATATTAATAATATCATAAAAATAAGCGATTCTTACGTTTAGACGTCGTTGCTCGATTATTTGGTATAAGGTGATTTTTTTTTTCTCGTCAACAGAAATTTGTAATTAGGAACACTCAATTTAGATAATATTCGCCCATCGGAAACAACGAATTACGAGACGTTTTATTTGAAAACGGTTAGAAGCTGTGAAATAACAAGGGCATAGGTATCTAATTTTGACGGTAATGCAACGGCCCTCGACGTAACAATTAAATGTGTATTTATTAAGCGGAAATAGTTTTGCATCGATATCGAAAAAAGTCGTGATAAAACAACTGCCGAAAATAATCCAGATTAATGTCTTGTAGGTTCGTATATATTATATAGTAAGTATAGCAGTATAGTAATATAGTATATATTATACATCGAATATTATACTGCACACGCTATGATTCTGCTCGGAATATTTTAATTAGTGAGTTAAAAAATTAATATTCAAACGATTCACACGCTGCGTTTCTCCCGATAAATAAAGTCGTGTAGAAAAGAAAATAGACGAAAAAATGTAGTGCGCGCACCTGAAATGTAAACAATATATGTGTACGTATTTCATACATGCGGTGTAAACCACAAGAAAATATGATATAAATGTACCAACATAATCCTTCCGTCAACTGCCTGCAAAAATATCGCCAAGGAAAAAAAAACATTTTAATGAGAAAAGTTATGATATTGAAACGAAGCTAAAATACGAATAATATTATCAAACCTACAGTGCAAACTCGCGTACAAGAGATGTAATAATATGAATTAGTTTGCACGTCAAAAATTCAAAAAAAAGTGATTATCGGAACACACGTAAAATAAATTATTGTTTCAACGACGCCCAAGACCACTAGGTCGTGGCAAGCCCGGAATAAGGATCAATTGGGCCCCGGGACACTAAACACTTAGTGGGCCCTCCTTTCAACTCGAACTTAAAAATAATTATATTACTTCGTATATTAAGGACTGTATATTATTATTTATTATATACGATTGTACTATACAAAAAAAAAATATAAGACATATAAATTAATTTAATATATATATATATACATAAATATAAAGAACACACTTCATAGGTTATTAGAGCTATAAGTTAATTTTTTTTCTTGCTTTCTGTTTTGCAAACTGTTGTAAACTTCCATTGAAATCTATCAATTGCAAAATATCATGTTCTGAGTATAATATCATTAACGATGTTAATTTTTCTTGAGTCTGGCTTATTCTATATTTATTTTTTATTCTTGTTAACTTTGAAAATGCTCTTTCGGCTGAACAATAGGTGACTGGGATAGTAAAATATAATCTGAGAGCAATCAAACCGTTTCGGAATACATCCTGCAATGATTTTTCATAAAAACATTTTCTAAACTAAAAGTATCACTTTCACCAAATGATACCTTTTTCAAATTTAAAAATGTATTATCATTTAGTTATTTTTCGTGATAAAAAATTAAGAACATATTTGATATATTATTAATAATTTATCTATTAAAATTTAATAGGTAAATAAAAAAAAGTATACATATATATAGTTTAGTAACTAAACTATATATATTTTTTTTTTATTCGAAAACACGAAAAAATAACGTTAAAAAAATATATATATTTCGGGGATAAATATGGGCCCCGGAACCGCGTCCCTCTTGCCCCCCCTCCTAATCCGGGCTTGGGCCGTCGGTCCGCGCACGTTTTTCTTACGGGTGGACATCGCGCGCGGCACCTGTGCTAGATATTGTGTTTGCCGTACGCACCGGAAACGCGTCTCACCGCGTGTTCTAGGTGGTCTCCGAACGGTGTGCGTGAAAAATAACGCGCTGGAAAATGACTAACGAACGCGGTGATAACCGTTCGCGTTTGCCCGGTACCGTAATTACCCGGAGACACGACGTCGTACAGACGTAACGCGCGACGGAGACGCGATCGTGACGCACACGTGTCCGCGGGAGCGGTGGTCGTCGCCCGCGGAACGGAAGACGATCGAGAACGAACCGGGCCGCGGGCGCGCCCGAAACGCGCGTCGGGACGTCGCACGACGTACGGGACGGAGTGAAGGGGGGGGGGGGAAGGAAAGAATTACGATAACATTTCTGTTGTCCGGTTCATTGTTGTTACAGCCGATCCTCCGACGGACGTTCTCACGCGCGCGCCAAAAATAATAGCGACGCTTTCTCCGCACCGGTCGTCCCCGAACACGCGTGCTCGCGGATGCGAACACGGGGCACAACGGGTCAACGGCGACGTGCGCGTAGCGCCCACCGCGCGGTAATTGTACAACGGTTCGGCGGACCGCTGACGGGGACGAGATGAACACATCACCGTGCCCGCGCACGAAAACGGTCCCGCCGTGTTCCGGATTCGTAACCCGGCGCTTCCGGCCGTTCGCACGCACCCATGTCGTATACGTGCACGTGCACGTACAATGTCGTCGTGAGGTGCGCGCGCGATCGCGAAAGGGTCGCGGACGAGACGCGGTCGGAATGCGCTTACGGTCGGAGTGCGTTAATACATTCGAGTCGTGACGAAACACCCTTAGAAGTGCCGGGGATCTGCATAACATTACGGTCATTGTTATACGCGTACGAGATGTTGTTGCGCGCATGTACATCACGCACGCGGACGCAAATCGCGCGGGTCAAGCGGCTATACAGCGGCTCCGCTGGACCAGGATTGTTTTATTTATTTTTTTTTTTCCGCAAGATTTCCGGTACGTATGGCCCGAGCGTTTTCGAACGCAAGAGGCAACGATTAAATTTATAACAGCAATTTAACCCTTTGTTCCCGACCCGCTCATGATTTATGTTGCATTCTCATTTTTATTTTTTTTAAACCCCACAACACACCGAGGGTAGAAGGCCGGTCGTATTATTGCGGAAATGCGTGTAATACTAATTCTCAACTAGTTTCTGTAATAAATTTCATCAAAACCTGGTTTAGTACGTAGACCAGTTGTACTCGCATGGGCGTCGAATTTTCCGATTCCCGTGGAGTGCCCGAAATCCTAAATTATTTAACTTGTACCTAAATAAAAATCATAATCATGTAATGAAAATAAATAAATCAACAAAGCATTACCCGTTGATATCATTTTTGTACATTTGTTGACCGAACTACTAAGTGCAGACTACTACACGCACTATACATTATTAATAATTATTGTATTGTTATTACGTAAGTACTGCATATAATACCGTTATCGTCGCAGTCGTCGTCGTCAGCACGACCAAAATAACAATAAAACCAAAAACATATATTTATTAAAAATGGTTATTTCTAAACGACGTACAATATTAACGTATTGAATGTTTGTATGTTATATTTATTTCATGGGGTGCTCGAGCACCGCAGCATCCCCAATAATTGGCGCCCATGCTCGTATGTATACATAGAAATTCATTATTTAACTTTCCACTTTTTTTTTTTATTAAGTGGTATAAACGCGGTATACTTAAAGAAAAAATAAACATATGATTACAATGCGGCAGAATTGCAGTGTGAAAAAATTTCTTTGCACTATTTTAATATAGGTGTGTGTTTTAAAAATTAATCAATTCTGACAAATATTTTACACGCATTATTAAGATTTAAAAGTTAATGGCTTTACGTTTTCAAAACGTTTTAATTAAAAACCTTTGTTATTGGTACTCTATGTAATATATATTTATATACATATACATTTATTGATATATGGAGTGTTTGAAATATTCTGTTCAATTAAGTTCGAACTGTAATATGAAATTAATTAGATTACGTAATCGTTTAAATTTTAGTATAATTATTTTCGAACCAATAATAATAAAATAAACATGTTTGAAATTTACTGTAAAAATTATTCAATTTAAGAACTTAAAAAGAAATGCTATCACTTTAACTTATTTTGTTAAAGTTACAGTTGTAAATTGTTAACATTATATATCAAGAGTGGCCAACATGAATAGATTCGCGGGGCACACGGATAAATACAATTATTTCTAAAATGTTTATAGATAAATTTTAAACAATTTGATCATTTTTTTATAAATGTATACCTAAAAAATTTAAATCAAAAATAATAATTATATGATAAGTAAATTTTAATTTAATAAATAAAAGCGAGCCGCATCTGAAAATGACAAGAGACACATACGAAAGTTAGGGTTGCAAGTTGGCCACCCCCGTTATATACACTAACCAAACGATTTTCACATGTATAGGAAAAAAAATGCAACCAACAAATAACGTGTAAAACTACCTGATCGTGAAATGAAATTGTGTCTTGCTCTTTTGGTGACATAAGGTGAATTTCCCGACATCATTATAGCACTGTCCGAGTCCGAATGATAGCCAGATATATCGCTGGAATCTTCGTCCTCGGCGACTTCCTTCATCAGTTCCAAAACCTAAAAAAAAATTTAAAACAATGTAACAATATATCGTCGTTGTTCGTTGCGTACATCATATTATTATCGTCCGAATATTACGGTTCCTATATTATTCATGCTTAATACGAATGCATAAAATGACCGCCTGTAATTAGAAAGTTTCGTTTTGGGGTTGGCACGCGGACGAGCCACGAGCAAACTTCAAAGATATCTATACTTGTCGGTACCACGGAACGATTCGCATCTCGATATTTATTTGTTTTGTCGACCGAATCGATATACTTTCTCTCATCATCATCATCGTCGTCGTCGTCGATATTTCGATAATTGTACCAGGAGAACATAACATGTACTCTACTAGCAGAAAGATACACGCATGAGCACACACACACACACACACACACACACACACATACACACACACGCATACCCTAACACATACACACAAATAGCGCAGCGCACGTTTATTTGTTGATTTGGAACTCGATCCATTTGTAACGACCGCAGAGGTCGAAGGTTGGCGTAGTGAAAACCTAATCAACCCTCTACCATGCGCTATGCGTTGACCATCGCGAGAACAATAACAAATTACATTGCATTCTTATAGCAGTGTAGTGTAGTTGACCAACGCATGGGATTAATGCCGCAGCGACTCGTCGTATTACCGTGTATGCTATACGATGCTCTGGTGGTGTAATAAAATAACAGTAATAATAGTGCACAGGACTCCTGAGTAGGAACATATATATAAATACGTATTAAGAAATACGTATAGTAAATGTACGTATACACGTACACGAGAGGTCAGTGTGTGGTGATGCAGCTGCAGTCAGAGGTCTCCGCGTGAAAACGATTTAATAACGCGAAATAGTGTGCGTGATTTCCACAACTGCGAACCGATAATAAAAATCCAATATTCCAGACCGATAATTATTTCGGTGTGCGTCCGAGTAGCTATGCACTTTCCGTCCGGTGTTGTTGGACGTCGAAGGAGAAACATGAACATCTTTTGTTTTTAACGAAAACGAATTACGACAAACGATTTGCGTGTAAGTTCATTTTTAACACCAAATTCTGCAGCCAGTGGCGCACACAGGGGGTGGGGTTTAAGAGGTCATTCCCCCCCACGAAATGTCTTCCTTCATTCAATTTTAACCTTACCTAAGCATCACAAACGATTTTGGCATTACATTTATAAAATTATACTATTATGCATACAATATTCTATTACATTATTCATTATTCTATTCTATCTGGTATAACAAGTTAACAATTTTCATTTAGTTTTCGTTGACCTTATAAACTGTTCATATTATATTAAGAAGTATAATAATTAAGTATACAGAATAATAACAAATAGTATCATATTAGGGGTTTATTTTCCATGTAAATATATAAATCGTATATACTGTTTTTGTACAACAATTAACAATACGTTCGCATAGGGTTAACATTAATGTAACATTAGGTACAACATTAATTATTATAGTAAATTATTAATAGCAAAACTCCCCTGAAAAAAAATCCTGTGTGCGCAACTGGCTGCAGCAACATATTTTATACAAAATTCACTATAAATCGTAAACGTTCGACACCAAGAATGTAAAGCGGAACTCCGAATCTACGCATGACAACTGCTGGGTTGAATCTTTCAACTGCTTCTCTGTTTTATTTATAATTTATGAAGCAAGTGTGCCCAAAGCTGTACAGTGTGTAGGTGTGCGGGGAAGGATTTTTATTCCTGCAAATGTGTACATTTTATCTCGAATCGATTATATTCGAATCGATTCGGAAAAGCGTGGACTATTGAATTTCCGCTTATCATTAGTATATACACTGTTAATCGTAGGCTGTAGCACGAACCTATGAAATATTTATGCATTATTTAAACTCCATAAGATTTATTTATTATTTGCATCACATAACGCGATTGAAATTTTAATAATAAACAGTGTAAATTAATAATGATTCAGCGTATTTTATTGACTCTAAACCATAACTAGAATACAATAATTGCTTGCGATACTAAAAATTAATAATTATAAATAATTTCACTGGATACGAATTCAAACTGCTTATCACGAGGAAAACCAGCGGTCAATACATTTACTAGTCCATAATTCATAAGTAAACATAAATATCAAATCGAGGACCGGACAAAGGAAATAATTTGTGTTTGAGTGAGAGGATAAAGGAAGGGCTTAATTTATCATGCGACTTGAATATATACAGACAATTATGGTAGTGCAAAATAAATAACTCGAAAGTTGATACTCTTTGAGTTTGAAAAGTCGAATAAAAAAATATTATTTTCCGACCACTCAGTGAAATAAAATAAATAATTGAACATTATTGTTAACTCGTATAGGTATTATCTTGGTTCCATTTACATTTTCGATTCGTTTAAATGCTACAGCGTGGATTATTTAAAAATTAGGATTCGAAATCGACACCAAAATAATGCGTTTAAGACAATGTACAGTAAATGTTAAAACGGGAAGCAGGAGTATCAAACATCCTGTCGGAAACACTTCACCCAGACAACATAAGCCTCATGATCACCTTTATAACCAAGATTAATCCTATCAATAGTTTATAATTTGTAAATTGTATATGTAATTATGTATCCAAAAATTTGAACCATTAAGACTATTTGTATGTCAATGGACATAGATTCCTCGGCTTACATATATAATAAAAATAAAAAATAAAATAAATGTTAAATTTTCTAAACGCGATCGGATTATATTGTTGTTAATCGTTATTAAACGCATACATAATTTATAACGGAGATCAGGTATAGTTTCCATTTGAAAATACCAGTTAGAAAGGCTGTAACGATCGTAGTAATTATTATGCAAAACAACACATCATTAACCAGTTTGAATCACAACAGAAGATATAACTCCGTTGCTAGATCGCTACAGTGGGTCAGTAAAGTAAAATAGTCAATGTCCCGAGGTGTTTTAAGCAAACCTTGAATTTCCGAAAATATTTAAATGTCATTGACTGGAAAACTATTTTAAAGTAATAAACCTACATACCTACCAATTATTTAAATATACCTACGCATAAGAAATTCTAAAACCCGTTAATCCTTAATGCTATGTTCTGCGGTCGTGCCGATAAAGACATCACGATAATATATGAAATGCGTATTAAATAAAATACGTACGGTGTATCCAATACATTTTTTATTTTCATAAAATTATTTCCGATCTTTGTATAAAATATAATAGGTTTAATTCATTTTCTAGTTGTCCTAAAGAGTTTTTAAAAATTCTTTTGAAACGTTGAATTGTCTTTCAAATCGAACACGTTCAAAGAATTTTATATTTTATTAGTTTTTTAATAATAGATCTATATATTTCTTAAAAAAGTATTAATATGTTAATATTCTAAAAAAATTATAAATGCAAATTTGACGACTGATATTTTCTAGATGAATGATTTGGACAAAATTTCAGCAACAATTGGATATTACATAATTATATACGAGTATACCTCTTTTATACTGGTATTCGTAAAAACAAAAATGTTAACTAATAATAAATTTAACGAACAAATATATACTATAAGAACAGGCAATGGTGGCGCAAAGTTTAATTTCCAATGAAGCAGTTACGTGTATCGAGTACCCACACCCAAAGTCAAAGTTATTACTTTGAGTATACTCCAAATTTAATTAATCGAAAAGTTATTAGTGTTTAAAATTGAAATTTGATGTAAAAAGCCTAAGATTTTTTATATAATTCTAACTATAAAAGTGTATATAAAATAATATTATACATAGTTTGTAGTAATTCAATAAATAAAAAATTATAGACTTTTTTATAAAAAATACCGTATTCAACATTTAAGAAATTTAGTATAAAGATAAGAAACTATGTGGCAAAACTTTTGATTGAAAAAGTATTTTGTTAAGAAAAGTTGGAAAACTATAAACAATTTAAATAAAATCTATAAAATATTTAATACTTAACTTCGCTTAGCATCGCATTTTCAAAAATAAAAATGATTTAACAATTCTTTTAACTTTTCTATCACTAAACACTACCATTTAAGCCATGAAGCAGCTCCTTTAATAAAACCCGCATCGTGCCACCACGGAGTAAAGGTGGGCTAAAAATCAATTTTCCATTTACCCTTAATTAATTTAAATTATACTCGTTCATAAGAATAAATTGTGTATAAAAGCTAATAACTTGAAATTATAATACACAAATAAGAGGCTTCGAAATATAGGCTGTAAAATAATGCTTTTAAGTATACGTTTTATGTACCAGTACAAAAAAAAAAAAAGATTCTCACATTATCTATAATTATTTTCTTATTAAAAGACATTTTCAAATAATTTTACGTCAAAACTATAATTACTTCCTCTACCTCACTAAATTCCTATTATTATAAGGATTACATTATTCGGTTATATAATATGGATTTAAAAAAAATTAAGATTATAAAATTTTACTAATTTATTGCCTTTCTTAGTTTACATGTTGATTATTGTTATTATAATTTAAAATGTTTTTTTACTATAGTTACTTTCGCGTGGGAAATTAAAAGTGCAATAATAGATTTATTTGTATACTTTTATAAAAAAAATACTGTCGGTTAGAACGTTATGTAATTGTTTTTCGAAGAAAATAATAATTCAAATGCATTGTTTTGTACAAAAACGTAATGCATTTGAATATAGTGAATCTATCACTTTTTAATAACACTCAAAGTGTGCTTGCAAATATATATAATTATAATAATAAGAGGTATCTTATTCGTGCGGGATACAGATATTCTATTCTAGCGAACTATGAAATATAACGCTTATTGATGGCTAAATATTGTAAATTTTAATTTTTACCATTTGAAGTTTTGGTACCATAAAATAGGCGCGCGTTTAATATGCAGAGTATAATATGAATAATGACTTCGATTATTTTGTCTGGCGTTTAATAGGATATTCGAAACGCATACATTGCGGCCTGGTAATGACGTAATATGTGTCTAATGATTGCAAGTTCATTAAACCTCGTAAGTGTGATTGTTTTTTCGTTATTTATCTTGTTGTGATAATTTATACGTAGGCACGGTTAAAGCAGTTACTGGTATAGTGTTTAGTGGTGATATACTATTTGAATTTACAAAGATTTGAACCGGACGATTATTAACACCATATTTATACTATTCTACATTGGTACTCGAAATCGTTCGTTTGTAAAATGTAATATATTATAATTTTATTCGAATCGAATAAGTTTCTAGAACGTAGGCACCACAGGAACGATCGATCAAGATTTCAAGAAATGATTTATCCCTAAATCATAACATATATTATACATGATTTATATAATTTTTTATAGCGTGCATCGCATCCCGGCCGGAGCATCGTGTTGACGTACCGTTTCCGTGCGCTGCAAATTAAAATTAATTTCACGCATACGGCGAGCGAGGCCTCCGAATTGAATACACATGTATAGGCGTTTATAACACCGCCGAACGCTGTTCGTTGCGATTGTCGTCATTACGTGCGCGAATCGAAGACAATGACTAGCAATCGGAACGCGTGATTTCGTAATATACGCACCACATTCACGAATTGCGTCATCGGACGGTATACATATTATATACACGAAAATGCTAATTACTACCGTAGTCCAAAACGTTCACGCACCGTTCGCTGTTGTGAAGCTCATACGTGATATTGCATCGCATCGCGCAGGGCCAACAAACGTTGCGCACACTGTAAACAATTTTCTACGTAAATTTACAAAAAAAGTGTGGTTAATTGAAATTTAACAACATTTTTTACAGCGCACACGACGGTCGCGTTTCGTCAACACTCCGTTGCGGCAATAACGACGACGATCCACCGCGTAGGCGCGCACATTCGGTCCAAGACTTTGGAAACGCCAGAATTCATTAATCCCGGTATATTCCACCTCCACACTCCCACACCCCCATGTGCCTATCTGACATAAAATATTTCGATTTCACAAATAAAATCATAAAACGAAAACGTGACACGAAACACTAATAAGTGTAAGACCGATCGCCATTTCTTTGTAACTGTTACAGGTGCTCATCGCGTATTTGTGCGTTTTTCGATATAAATATAAGGGTGTCGCAGTGCAACCGATACAAACCGGATGAAACTCGTTTTCATGGGCGCAGAAATAATTGTCTGTAAACAATAGTTGTAGCCGAAAGTAAACCAGGGACGCTATACGATTCGGACGCCAATAAATGTGGATCATCGGGGACCTACGTACACACCACCATATCAATCGTAAACCTCTAATAATATTATGTAAATTTATAGAATATCGATATCGCTCGGCAGTGCTCTAAGACGTCACGTAGCGCCGTGTTCGTATAAGCACTACGTATTCACCGTTACACACCTGATAGTACCTACATGGGTGCAGTTTGCGAAAAATCATATCACGCACGTCAGTTCGTTCACATACGCGCCCGTGCACCACGTTAACGTTTAGAACGCGAACATAATGGGAAAATATGAATATGTGAGAAAAACGGATGTTGTGCGTGTGTGCGACTTGTTCCTCGGATATAATAGCAACGCTCCACACGGACAGTCGACTTGTCCACACGGTCATTGATCTCAACATCACTGCCGCAACGCGTACGATATTTCTGCAAATCTCACGACAACGGCGTGCGGTTGTGTGCTACCGTAATCGTTTCCCGACAAAACAAGACTCCGGGTAATTCGACCCGCCCCGTAATCACCCTTGCGCGTGCCACGTTGAAATCTCTTAAAATATACAAAGCCGTCAAGTACAACCACCGTGGACCCGCGAACATTTCGATTTTTTTTCCGATTATCAAATAGAGGTGCGATTGATAACGCATCTGATTTTAAGCAGTATTGAAAACCGATTTTGTATGTTTTCTCTCGAAGCCTTTTTCTTTCTGGAGTAAAAATAATTATTTCGCAATCGCACGAAATTGTTCTACTACAGCGGTTTCCAAACTTTTACAAAACCTTTTGAACCCTTAGGAAAGAGATTTTGTTTCGTGGAACCCCAACGTACTTAACTCAACCCCAATTTCTCAATTATTGATTGAAACACCAATACTCTAAAAACGTTTTAAAGATAGTTCATGATTAAAGTTTATTACAGATACCACTCTTAATATTTACATACGTCTTGCAAAACCCTTAGGTTCGGCGAAGCAAACATTGGAAATTGCTAGTCCACAGTTACCATTACGAATAGTCCTACCACATTACAACGAAAACTAAACCTTATCATAAGATTTTTTAATTATTTTTCCCATTGTCAAGTTCACGCGATACTCGTACGAAAAAATCTTTTAAGTGAACTACGATACTGCATATGTAACAGCATAAGCATAGACGCAATTAGAGTAAAAATTTGGGGGGCTTCAGCCCCTTCCATATGTTTTTCAATCTCAGAAACTTTTTTTCCACCTTTCACCCTCTATAAAAAATGTGTTTATTGGAAGGCAAGTAAAATTTAAAAATAAATATTAATTTAATTTTTTCAGTAGTAATCACATATTTCTTTTTTTATTTATCAATATAATAATATAAAGTTCGACATGGTTTTTGAGGGGCTCTGAATATTATTGAGGGGGCTTAGCCCTTCCAGCCTCCCCTAATTGCGTCTTTGAGGATAAGAGTAAAATAAGGTAGTATAAAGATAATAATGACTAAAACATAAGTATAGTATAGTCGCTTAAAGGAAAGTCTCACCTGTTCGCAAGCGTGCGAGTATCTCATTAGCAGCGGTGCGACCACGTGCTCCGACTCGACTTTAAGTTCCTTCCTAAGCTGCGTGAACTGGAACAACGCGTCCTTGTCGTACTCGACCCGCCGTTTTAGGATGGTCAGCAGTATGGCCATGGACTTGTTCTCCAGCACGGGTTCAACGACGTTCAGCAGCGTTTTGTTCTTGATCAGCCGCTCTTGGATGTCGGTCTGCTGCAGGGACAACTGCCGCTGATGCGACGCCTGCACCGGCGCCGGTCCCTTACTCACGCCGTCCCGTTTGCCGGATAAGCTGAGCTCTTCGAGCTTGAGCAGCGCCGCTTTGTACGTATCCACCAACTTCTGGAACTCCACCTTGAGCGCGTCGTGCAGGTTGGTGAGCGTCTCGTCGCTGGTGCCGACCAGGCCGTGCTGGCCCAGGCCCTCGACCGCCTTGTCCAGCGAGCGGCGCCGCACCTGTAGCGCCTTGCGCAGCTTCGGTTCGGACAACACGATCACTTTGAGCAGCTTGCGCGTGCTGCCCAACCATCGTTCCGCGCCGCCCGTGGTGCCGGTGAACAACTTGACCAGCCGCATGAGCACGTGGTCGGGCCGCAGCACCTTGATGCCGCAGTCGGACGACAGGAACACCTTTGCGTACAGCGCCTCCAGTATAGACAGACTGTGCGGCATGGCCTCAACGAACAGGTCGACGGGCAGCTGATCCAGGATCGCCTTGAACGTGCCATGGCTGAGCCGGTTCACGAAGTTGGCCGCCTCGCGGTACTGCGCGTTCTCGTACAGCAGCAGTATGCGCTTCACGGCGAACCTCGGGCTCACGTCCGCGATGGTCATCGAGCTGACCAGCTCCGGGAACCCGTCCACCCAGTTGGAGTTACGCCACTGCATCTTTTGCACGTTGACCGCGTGCCGGTTCCGGTCCGGCTTGATCCGATTGCCCTGCAACGCCTTCACCGGCTCCGAGCTGTACGAGTTCCACGTGGCCGACGGGTCGGACAACGGTGGCGGCGGCAGCGTCAACATAGTGCTGCCGGTCTTGGGGTACGCCTCGTAGTATCTGTTCATGTCGCGCGCATAACACGGGAAGGGGGGCGGATGCGGTATCGCGGGGACGATTACTGTACCACGTACGGTGAAACGGATGAAAATCGGACGGGGGAGTGAATAGAAAATATATATATATAAATAATAAATAAATGAAATACGGAGACGAACGAAACGAGCGCACTGTATACACCGCGCCGGTACGCAACTGCTGTGGTAAATACGACGACGACGTGCGCGAGACGATCACGGACGACGAGTGAACACCGCAGACGACGTGCACGGATGGACACGCTGGCGAAACTGGTCAGGTGAGAGACTCTCCGGAGACTGGGTGTGCGAAGAGCCGGGCCGGAATAAACGCGCGGAGCCGGTTGACCGCCGCGACCAACGAACGGACTATCTCCTCTCCTAGTCGCCGCCGTGGGAGAAAACCGTTTCGGCGGCCGGCGCGCGCGGTTCGGACCGCCGGTGCCCATCGACGGCTGCGGCTCCGGCCGAAATACGTTTCGAGACCGGCACAAAATAAGAACGGCACAAAACGGCCAAAATAAAAACGGCACGAAACGGTCAAATTACGTAGCGATACAACGTCGCACACGCGCGACAAGGGCGACGTCTCGTACGACGATCGCGCGAGAACAGACCCGTACGTAGGCGCAACTAGGGGGGGGGGCGCAATAAGGTTTTTAGCACCCCTGAGTTCAAATGTAGCACTCCTGTTTTTTTTTCCCCTCAGATCTATGTAATCTATAGTAATTACAGTTAAATACCATTTAATTTTATTTTCAGCAATTTCAGCACCCCCAATATTTGGACTCCAGTGCGTCCATGCGTCCACTGCTGGACATACCCGATTTCGTCTAGACAGAGTTTTTTTTTTTTTTTTTTTTTGCAAACCGCAAACCCGTTTGAACAACACGTCGCAGGACACGCGTGCACGAGGACATGTGTTATTTGTATTGACGACGTGCGACTGACGGGACAGCTCCGGAGGAACGGCTGCAGCCAGTGCCGGCCCTCGGAGCCCTTGGCCAATTATATTTTGGCACTTATTTTATGTGAACAAAAAAAAAAAAGAAACTGATTTTAGTTTCACTCAAATGCGCACCCCCTATTACTCAGTTTCTGACGTTTTGCAGGGCTATGCTCGTCGGTCTTACGCGCATATCGTGCTTTAAGCACGTATACATTTGAACGATAAGTACACTGAAAAAAGAAAATCTTGGTCATAATTGCTAGAATATGATTCGTCCGACCAGAATTGTTGGCATTGTCGTCATTAGCGCACAGGCAACTTAGACAACTACCTAGGACCTCACACTTGAAACAAATTCGGAGGAAACCATATTGACTTTGCCTAGGGCCACGCAAAAGCTTGTTACGGCATTAATTATTAGTTGCAGACGTGGTTAATCTTCGCAAACACTACCGAGACTTTATTATTATAGAATATCTACACCTATGTCTTTAGGATATATTAAATCGCACTATTTAATGACTCGGTTTCTCATTGCACGCCGTGTACCTCCCGGCAGACGCAAATTGTATTCGAAAAGTTTTATCGAGCATTGAATTCGAGGGCTTGCATAGAAATATTTTTCAGGTAAGAGGATCAATACTTTTACTACCATAAATTTCACGTATATTTATTTCACAATATAATTAATTTGGTAATAATTAATTTTATGATAGTAAACTGATGGACATTGAATTATGCGAATAACTCTGGCAAATGTTTATGACATTAAACTTAAATCGTACAAAAATATTGAGCAATACATTTTTTCTTAATTCGTTGAAATTTTGAGAGGATGTTTGAACGGGGCGCCCTCCCTTGGTCCACTTCTACTTGAAATCTATTGTATTGCATTATTATTATACGTTTAATTATGTTAATACTTTTGGTTATCATTTAACAACGAGTAGACTTCATTATTATAATTCTAAGCAATAGTGCCTTATGTATTATAAATTATTATTAATAATATATTATTTCGTTGTATAAATAACTACATAGGATTACCGAAGGAATTTCAACGTCAACTGCTACTCGTACTGTAAATATACGGTTTTATCAAAAAATATATCGATATATATCATTTTTACTTGAAAAAATAGCTTTAATTATTTAAAGAAGTATAATCTCTGTTGATAACTTAACATTGACTAAACTTGACATTTTATATTTCGTATCTATCTAATTGAACATGGCAGTTAACGAATAGTTCAAAATTGAATTTTATTACAATTAGCATAAACTAAAATATAATAATCACTTATTGGTTTGACGTTCTTGAATGTTAACACATTCATTAGTGTTAATTTAGGGATCAAACTAGTTTATTTTATTACACACTGAAAACACAAATTAAATAGTTCGTTTAAATCGTTAAAGTGTTATAAAATAAGAAAGTATACGAAAAGAAATAGGTAATAAAATATATTGATTTCAATTTAATTTTATTATTAATATTATCTTTATAGTTTGAAATTGTTCGCGGCCCACATGGATAAACACTCATTATTATGTTACACTATTATAGATATGACATATACGCATTATCCAGAGGTGTTTTAATGACTAGACAGCCTAGTTCTTAAAATTTAGCCTACATAAAAATCGAATTCAAGTTACTAAAATTATAATGCGTAATTATATTAGACACGGTTCCCTTTGTTGTATACCTTGTTGTAATGAAGTCTGTTAGTGAAGGTCTACGTGGGTTCCGATTAAAAAAAAAATAAAATAAAATAAAATCTAGTGCGATTATATTATACATTATAGGCTTGCTGCATTACGTATGCATTTATCTATACCTACTTATTTAAATAGTTCTATTCCACGTGTTTGCCTAAATATAGGTCTAATACGATCGTCGTTGTAGCCCTTCGAGCAGTTTTCTACCGATTGCTCGGCAAGATTCTTTCGAATGGACAAATGGGAATACTAAAAAATTCTATTAACTATAGTTATTCATTTGCAAACCAATCGCTATAGGTATTCGTTTTTACGTCCTACACTGCGTATTAAATTTATCGTTTTACAACCAAACCTTACAGAATTTCGCACTTACTATTACACTATTATATGTACACATGCAACATATTAACACATCGATTTTAAATATAAATTAAGCTGCGCATTAATTAATTTTTTTTAAGCGACTACAAACGTTGTTGCTGAAAACATTGGTTTTTTACGCACATTTCTGTAAACTATTAACATATTTGAATAATTGTGTTATTCTATAAGTAACTTCTAAATATTTTAAATAATATTATCGAGCATATAAAACAAAACGATTAATTTTTAATCAAATCACATTTATTGCACGTGTGTTTTAACGTGTGAACATGTAATAATAATAATAAAAATAACATATCGCATCGAAAAAATAAAAATATAACCAAACCCATTCAAGAGTTGATATAATTTTTAATTATACGTATGATTGATGTTGACGCATTTCACTAGCTGTACAGAAGAAAGTTATAAAAATGTATTTTCTTAGCGTCGCACGTACTTCTTGTAATGTACACAGTGCTTACATATATGTGTATACGTGGATTGTCCTACATAACGTTGCTTCTTTATTTTCAGATAACCATATATAATCTTACTGTCTTGCCTCTCACGTAAATGTAATGGCAAAATCTAACATTTAGTAGGAAAATACAAAACTGAAGGCAATACATACGAATGTTTATTCTCTAAGAGGAGTGTAAACTTTTTTTTTTTTTTTTGATTTATAGGTTTTTCGAGGTATAAATTGTTTTCTATTTTTCACTTGAGAATGTGTACTGAAAAACACAACACACGCAATTGCCGTTCATTTCATAATATTGTAGTGTACGTTTGTATGGACAATATATATCCGTACCGTGTACCGAAATTTTGAGTGAAATACAACTATTGGTCTATTACCTAACTAGTGTCCAAAATGGACAAAACTCAAATAAAAATACCATAGTTCTGCACAATGTAGGTAATAAAATAATAGGTGCATGTAGACGCATTTCAATAGCATTATTATAACTTCGTCTTCTTTTCTATGTACATCCGAGACGGTACAGCACGCGTTATATTGGTCTCATTCGTCTCCTTTTTTTCCTCAAAATAATTCATTTGAAAACATAATTCTTCGTCCGTACGTAGTCGTACGACTTAAGACTTTACCGACATGGAATTATTATGTCGTTATCGTATTTTAAACAAATATGATCCGTTTAATTTCTTCCAACGTTTCAGTCCCATTATTGTTGACGGTTGTGTAACAAACATCACAAAACGTGAATAATACATTATAATACTTTTTCATCTCGTAATATATCGTTCGCCATACGCGTACATTGTAATGCGATTTCTATGCACCGCGATACTCAAGGTTTTTTATTTACTATTAATTAACGAAATTATAATAATCGTAAAAGAGCGTACTACGGCGCACTGGCAATCTTCGTTTTTCCGCCAGAAACAACCGTTCGGTCTAATAGTTTTAAAATTCAGGAGGAAACATTGCGTAACCATATGCATACTGTTGTTACACGTGTGTATAAATTCATAAATATATATATATATATAATTGTGTATACACGTTGCACGCAATAAAAAGCTACTTTAGCTCACGCGTTTATTTTGTTCACGTCATGTACGTACAAATAATCCAATTTACTTCCGGACGGTAAGACAAATAACTTACGTACATCTAATCGTCTCGGGATGATTTGACGAGTGTACGGTTCGCAATTAGACATCGACATCTTTCATAGGTCGTACAGAGTCGTTAAGCGTTGCAGTGCTCGGTAAAAATTATAAAACAGTATTAAAGTTCCGGTGCTAATATATGAAAAAGTATAAAAATAATTTACTTCCTAATGAGGTACGAGTGGAGAAAAAAAAATCTCACCATTATAACAACGGTCATAATATATTATGGCACGAATGCGCGATAACGGAAATACTGTGGTCATTATGTAATGTTTTATTCGGAAACTATTTTCCCAGGATTCCGAAGATCGATACCTGCAGCAGTGTAGGAAAAAAAAACAATGCGATATTATTATTATAAATACCGGATAAGTTATTATGATAAGGCACAGCGGCCGGTAATTATATGTACAGCTACTGCGACGGTCCTTGTCCTTCTGTAGATCAAATTTACGTTCTGGTATAACTCCCAAGATTTTCAGTGCGATACACATGACATATTTATACGCTCCTAAAATATTCAGATCATCACACGAACTTAAGCTGGTATTTTTTATATGTTGAATAGTCCACCGTTTGATGCAAGACACATTGAAGATAGTGACACTTGCAACATGTTAACATATTAAAACTTCTAAACATGTCTTTACCAACGTTTTTTAACAACGTTTGTACATT